GATGCAGGCTGCTCAGGGAGGTGGTAGAATCACAGTCCATGAAACACTTGTTCTCTTCCATGAAAGAGAGCTGTGGAGGTGTAGCACTTGGGGATGTGGTCAGTTGACATGATGGGGATGGATTGATGGACTTGGTGATCCAACTTTAATGTTTCTATGATTCTAACTCTGTCTGAAATATCAAGCCTGCCGTAGGCAATCCCAAGCAATGAAAGAATTGAGGGGTTAAGGAGGGAAGCATATGTCACTTCAGTCCCACTGACTGCTCTGCTAGGGGTACGGGAACTGTGATTCTGCCTCCTCCCAACTCTCCTTCCACCACTCACTGAGGGGCAGTGATCATGCAAAATAGAGAAAATCCAAACCACAAAAATGCATAAAAATAAATATAAACTCTGCAAATCAAAGATCTCTATGAAAACAAATGCTCCTGAGACAAAATCTCTCTGCTTTGTCTCTATTAAGTTGTTCAGTGCTATAAAAGCAGTAACGTGCAAATTCATTCACTAGCAATGATGCTTTTTCTCTTCCCTTACCCATGATCTATCTCTCAGTTGCCAACATAAATAATACTTGGGTTACAGTAATGTCCTGTGGCTCCGGACTGAGGGAGCTTCAATGCATAAGGTGCTGAGCAAACATGTATGGAGGCATAATGCTGTCAGAAGTTATCCAGGTCATATATTCTGTGGCTATATTCCTTCCTCTGAAGAACACACTCTGCTTGGCAAATGCTTGGCCTTCTTCTGTACGTGACACTCAATGTCAGTGAGTGACATCTCACAGATGACACATTATTGGTAGAGCAGGTGCTGGTGGCAAGGGCTATATTTAAAAAGCAGAGGTCTAAATATGGCTCTGCAAGGCTCTGTGTTTAAGAGCTCTCAGTCATTTCCAGAGCAGATCTGATTCTCTGATTCTCTTACAAGGCCTTTCTTCCCTTCCTTCACCAGAATAGGAAAGCCAAGAAGTGTTTCCCTGGATCACCAGAATGCCCACATAATCTTAGGTGCACCATGTTTATGATTCACTTAAAAGATGAGATGAGCACATCAGAGCAGTTTCCAAAGCTCTAAATTAGAAGGCTTTTTTTTTTTTTTTTTTTTTTTTTTTTTTTAACAATAAGTTAGACAAATCCCCTTGTAAATTTATCATTGGAGTAGCTTCTATATGTCACAACATAAATCTGCCTTCATCATGCCCCAGTGTTATTCTACAGAAGGGCAGGTGAACATATTACCATGAACTATGAAACAGTGTACATTTCTGATGTGCCAATCAGTCTCTGGTAATTTCACATAATTCAGAGTAAAAAAGTGATAACCTCTTCTAGAATTGGCATAAGTCTGAGGATGTGTATTAGGGTGAAGGCAACAGAGACGATTCTTAGAGCCAGAGGGTAATTTAGGGCTGTCAAAATGATGCCAAACCACCAGCACACCATCTGCAATGACTGCGAATTGATGGCTGCCCTTAAATCTGTACTGCTGCATGAAAGGTTTCCCCGTCATTAAGCTCCAAAAGTGTGTTTGGCATTCAGGTGTGAGTTTGCACCAGGAACATCCTAGACAAAGCAGGGAAGCAGTTTTAAGCCTTTTATTTTGAGCCCAGGATGTTTGTTGTTTTTCTTCTCCAAGCAGCCTCCATTTGATCCACCTGTGAGTGAGTGTTGAGGTTGGTGGTGAGATGCTGGTCTACATGCAGAAAAAGCTAGCACTATCCATTCATGTTAGTTTGAAAAGCATTGCCAGACTTCAGCTTGTAATGTGGTATCCAATCACTTTTTCTATGTGCTTCTTAGAGTAATCCTAGTTCAAGTGTGGTCTCTGGTAAATGCAAGGGAATAAAGCTGAAATTTAAGCAGTCTAGATACCCATTCATTTATTCTTAGGAAATTTAGAAGGATTACGTTTTTGCTTTTATTTTTATTCGCCTCATTTTGTTGCTTTGGTTTGGTTTTAGTGAATATATGTTAAGAAACTGCATATTATGTCTGGAGGAACTGTCCACATCACAGATTTGTTCACTTTTGTGGATGACGTATACAAGAAAAGAACTCTATACTTCATTTTGTTTCCATTTTCCACCCTCATTTTTCAGCTGAGACATGTAAATGCTTCTCACTGAAATCAGGAGGAAGACACATGGGCATACAGGATGACAAAAGTCATTATCAAATCATCCTCCAGCACCAGGTGCTGGAAGGCACAGTGCTGTTAGTTGACCTGCCACTCACTTCCATTCCTCTCTTTAACACAACATATTTAAAAAGAAACCAAGGCAAACAGCTCTACCGAAGCTAACAAAAATCAAACCTCTTGCAGCAGGTGAGGTGAAGTCTAACTCTGAGGAAACAAAGAGACTGACAGTGGCTCAACATCAGTTCAAGAGGTGGACATAGCACTGAGAATAAGGTTCAAGCTGAGAGCAAAGAGGCATCCATGGAAAAAAACTGTGACTGACAGAGGAGTAATGTAATTAAACAGTTTAGCTCCTTAAAATAAAATAATCTCACACACAAACAAATCCACCAGTCCTGTTAACCACCTGTTCAGTGAATTGCTGCCTATGCACCAGCTATGTTATTTGGGCACAAACCCAACATGGTTTTGACTAGTGGCTACTGCACTATTTTGAAAGAAAATCCATTGGACAAAGGTGTTTTCATTCTTCTGTGTTGTAGAAGAAAATGTCTTTACCTTCCTTCCTCTTTGTGCTTCTTCCAGTCTTCAGTTACAGATCCTTTAATGTCAAGAAGCAAGGTTTTAGTCTAGATGAGTCTGGAATAGTGTCCATCTCTGAGATAAGGGCGAGGTCAGACTAGATTATTTTCTTTTCCTAAATGAAAAGACTTCTTCCAGAAAGTTTCCATCCTTCCCCTCTATACTTCTGTCAGGTTTCTTCCTGCAGGACATAACCTACTGCCCCTACTGCTGTGGTCTTTTCCTGGTTTAAGTTTCAAATATGATAGTTGGCTTCTGCCAATAGACTCAACATACCTGAGACAATGAATCACATCCAATGATTCTGCTTTATGCCTAATTTGCATCTCAGTTCCCATAGTAGCATCTGCAGATACACCAGCATTATCATCTGCTCACCTCAGATGCCCTGATGTCTAGGGTGATGTCAGTCACACTTTTTCATCCTAATTCCTCCTCCTGCTCATGCTGTCATTATTTGTTTTATGAAAAAAAGGAAACAAAGGTTTGTCCTTTTGTTTTCACTGTCCTGCATCACCCTTCCTCCTCTCTGATGTCCTTAATGTCTTTCAAATTCTCAAGTTTAAAAGGAGAAAGCTTTGTATTTCTTACTCACAGCAAAAAATAAACTCCAAAAAACAAACAAACAAGAAGAAATCTACAGTAGTCCCGATTGCTCCATAAATTTCTAGGCATCTGGAGTAACTTCGGAAAGCTCAGCCATTTGAAATAAATACCGGGTATTCTGCAAATCTTGCCTTGAAGATATGTCAAATTTGAAGGCCAAGAGGTGAGAATCCCAGTAACACTTACTTTGCAAGGGCCACACTAGTGGCAATGATATCCACATATCTTCCTGTTCCAGAATGTAGGCTTCCTCTCTGGGCAAGCAGATGTTTCAACCTTGAGCTCAAAATGAGTTCCAAGCTATATGGATTAGCAGAATGTCTTTTATGTTCATGGATTCTATGTGTGCTTGAGGCAGAGCTGCACAGATGTCCAGCAATGCAGGGTGCTAGGATGGGTAGCATCTGGTCTATTTTCTCGTTAGAAGTCCTGCAAGAGTTGTCTCCATTTGCTGCAGGAAGAGGCAGGTGAGACATCTGGGACGTAACAGAGGCTGTGCCATCCTCAAGAAGCACAGAGCATGTTTAAATATGAGATCTTTTTTGAGCATGTCCAAACTAAGAACATCATCAAGCTTCAGAGACAAAGAATAGAGTCTTCTCCTAGGGGCTGGCAGTGTCTTAAGGTCACTGACAGTAGCTGGATCTATTTATGACGGTTTATTAAAGATCATTTCAGGTTGGCCACTAGGAAAAATTCTTTTCAGAAAGAATGATGATGAATTGGAACAGGATGCCAGGGAAGTGTTGGAGTCACTGTCCATGGAGTTGTTCAAGAACTGTGCAGATGTGGTACTGAAGGCATGACAAAGATGTTGGGTATGGTGGAGTTGGGGTTAAACTTGGTGATCTTGGAGGTATTTTCCAATATTTACGACTCTATGATTTTCTGTTAGGAAGAAAAGTTGGGGAGAAACTGGAGAGGAACTTTTTATAAAGGCAGGTAGCAATAGGACAAGGGGAAATATTTTTTAAATTGGAAAGAGGTTGATTTAGACTAGATATGAGGAAGAAATCCTTTACTGTGAGGGTGGTGAAGCACTGGAACTGGTTGACCAGAGAGGTTGTGGATGCCCTCTAACTGGTAGCATTCATGGCAGGCTGGCTGGGGCTGTGGGCAAACAATGAGTTGTGTCCCTGACTATAACAGGGGGTTGTGGTTGCATAGGAAACTTTTGGTGACTTTACATTGAGCTTGAAGGTCACAAAAAAATGCAAAGAGAAATCAAGCAAGACATTATTATCATGCAGCATATGCATCATCCATGTGAAATTTCTCATTTTGTCATCTGGTTTGAAGAGATTTTCTGGTTTGAAAAGGTTGAAAACCTTTTCTACCCTCCTTTCTTTTTAAAACATTAAGAAAAGTACAAATAATCATTTTATTCCTTAAGCTAACTTGCAGAATGCTGGAATGCTATTTTCTCGCTCAGTCTGAGCTATGTTTGAAGGTCTTACCCTCTTGTTTGTGGATGCAGATATACCTCCCCTTTACACAAAATAAACATCAAATCCCTACCTGCTCCCTCTCTTCTGTTTTAATTTCCCTGTGATTTAGGAGAGACAAATAATGATCTTCTGCAAAAGTAGGAAATCAGTTATAGCCAAAATGGCAAAACTAAAATATTTCTCCTCTAAACATGTTGTTTTTTTACTTTATATGTCTTGGCAGCCTAACAGTCTGAAAACATCCATCTGAGTTCTCTGCACTCAACAGAGCAGCCCAAGGATAAATCCTTCAGTATATCCTATACGACTGAAGCTGTAGGAGCCTTACTGTGAGTAAAAACATTTTAAATATGATTGCTATACCTGTTAGTAACTAAAGAGCCCTTTTGGAGCAAATAATTTTCTTGGAAATGTCTGAATCCAATCATTTAAAGCTGAGAGCCCATATCTGTGCTACACGAGAGTTCTAGTCCCTACGTGGTCCATCCACTGCCTCAAAAGAAAAGAGTTTACCTTGTCCATCTGTCATTTAAATGGTAATGAGTTAAATGAATTCCACCTCACTTCTGAGCTTCAGAGCAAGCTTGGGTTTATTTATTCATGTAATGACACGGGGACAAGTTTGACATTGCTGAACATGTCCCAGATTTATGGAAAATAAAACTGTACTAATCTAGTGCATTTATTAGCTTTTCTGTCAGATGCTTCCGTGAGCATCCAGAGATGTGAGTTTGCTCTGCAATTCTGTCCTGATTGGAACAGCATCTCCTGAAATGTAAATGTTATCTTAAGGTCATAAGCTGATGAAAACCACTGTTTTGGCAAACTCTAATTTCTTGGTCATTTGACAGAGCAGCTGCTGTGCAGTTATATGGCACAAAGAAAGCTATTAAAGATGGATGAGTTATATCTCTGATTTGGCATTTATTATACTGCTTTCAAAGGTAAAAAATCAGATACATAATGCTTTTCCTTGATTTTACTGAATAAATAAGTGACCTCTCACAAATATACACACCAGAATGAAATGTCTAGATGAAATCGTTCATCTACACCTTATGGAGCCTTCTGAGATCTTCTGTGTTAAACAGAAATAGAAATAGGAGCAAATATCGTAATGCCAGATATAATCAATTTGTATCATCACAGATTCATATTGAGACAAGTGCCTGAATCAGAGGAAAATGCAGAGATTAGACAATTGCGTATGACATGTGACAGTAAGCTCTGCAGCTGGTCTGCATTAACAAAAATAAAAATTACAAGGTCTAGGTAATCAACAGCTGGTATCAGCTGGTATTGTACCTCATCAGTGCCTCTAAGGTCTGTGAAGATTATTTTTTACCATCTGGAGGATATCTAGAGTTGGCCAATGTCAGAAGCACAATAGCAGAGGATTTTGCTGCTACTTTGGCAAGTCTGTATGAATGTTTTCTTGCACGAGTGGGAAACATGCAGCATGCAGTCAAGAAACACGATACTATGACATGTTTTAGGAGGTGGTGCTGTCACAACTGGCCATTCTACGGCTTTTTAGTGTGTGAGAAACTACTGATGGGAGAATCACGCTGTAGGGAAGTCAGCTTTGGGTTGCACAAAGTTCCGTGTCTGGGAAGAGCTGGAAGATGTGTTGCAGTTGGGTTTGGACTCTGCATTCAGGTTCTGAGCAGTTGGTTCTGGAAGTGGAGGTGTTCCCCAGAGCTGAACCTACTGTGATGGATGGGGAAGGAAACGCTGTCATACACTTTGCTTGGCCTTCATCGTGAGTAATAAAGCACTAGGTTTCAAATCAGAAATCTAATGCTTAAGGAATAAGAGCCACCAATATTCAAGCTTAAAAAAAAGATGTTTCTAAAAAACAAATTTTCCAGTACTGTAGGCAAGTGACCTCCCTCTCTGGTGTACTTATAATCACATCTCAAAATTAAGGTTCTACACAAAAACTGGGGATCAGAAAGACTTTCAGGATACACTTTTTAAATAAAAGAGGAATGTGATTATGAAACATCTCATGTTTAGTGACTGCACCATGGTGGTCTGATAGGAGTTCTGATAGGCACTGCAGGAGCCATCATTTGTTCTGTAAAATGTCAGCTGTGATAAACCTTCTGTTTGTCTGTGACTTTCTACTTGTCTACTGAGAGACCTCAAGAACAGCAAATCACCTTGCTCTGCGCTTCAGTCTCCTAAAACACAATTGTTTACCTGTGCTTCCTCAAAAATCCAGTGAATGGTTTTTATTATCATCTTACAGCTACAGCTCTCATCCCATTGAATTCATCCTCTGCAGTCTCATGGGGTGGGTACAGTCTTGCAAGGTGTTGCCTGTGCACATTGCCCGGTGCAGTACTCTCTGTAGACACCTCTATCACAATGAGAACATATTTCAGGTGATGCATCTCTTCTTTCAAGCTTCAGTTCACGTGATGAGGTTTGCTCATTCTGCAGTTTACACCTTTGAATTATCTGTGATACCTCCCTATGACACACAATTCCTGTGAAACTTGTTAGCTCTCCTTAAAATAAGTAGAAAAATAGACAAGCAGTCTAGAAATCATTGCTGAAGCTGACCAACAGACCAGCAGAAAATTCAACAATAAAACATGAATGTCGTAAAATATCAATAATTGAAATAAAGCACAAGCTGAGAAATGCGTGGCAAAGTAGTTTATTCAACACATAAAATACCATATCCTCATGACAAAAGTACTGAATGACACAAACTGAGCTGAAAGGAAGTTATTAGTGCTACAAGTCCCTGAACCACAGCACCTTGTCCTTTCTTTATGTAATTCTTTCTTGGACAGCATATGTTCCTTCCCCAGAGCTTAAAGCACAAAAAGGAGAGATCATAAAGGGAACAGAGAAAAGCAATAAGGCTTACATGCATCTACTCTGTGTACAAAGGCTTTGTGCCATACTGGTGATCCCAGAACATCTTCTTAACACCCAGCTGACCTTTGGGTGCAAAAACTGAATTATATGGAATTCTTTGCCCTAGATTCTTGGATCTAATTGCTCTGCCTCCTCCAGTGTTTGCACTCTACTTATATTTCCATTTCTATATGGAACTTTGCTCCCTAAGATTCAGGGATTTTAAGGCCAAAGAATCTTAGATTGCCTCTGTCACAGGTTGTTAATTTTCACCCATTTGTCCCCAGAATTGATCCCAGTAATTGATGTCTAGAGAAAATTGTCTTCCAGAGAGACTCTTAGCCATGATTTGCAAGTACTGAGAAGCAGATACCCCATGGCTTTCTTTAGCAGCATTAAGTTAATGTTACTCTCAATCACAATAGTACTTCCCATGCCTCCCTCCATCTGTTTAAAGAGCCCTTTTCTGACTGGGTACTTCTCCCCACAAAAATATCTCCACAGTAGACAAATTACCTCTTCATCTCATCCTTGCTCAGGTAAGCAGAATGAGTGGGAGTTTTTTTCATTTTGTTTTTGTTTTTGTTTTTTTTGGGGGGGGAGAGGGGGCATTTATTTATTTATTGCACTCTTAAAGGAAAGTAAACTGGGATGCAGCATTGATATTTTACTCAGCCTGATTTTGCACGCAGGTGTAAGGCTGCTGTCAGATCATACTGAAATAGGAATATGCATATAGGAAAGACTTGTGAACTTCAATATCAAAGGTCCTTGCACACAATATATGGAGTATATGTACATATAACAAGTATACATACAAACATAATGGTAATTATTTTGTGATGATTCAGCTTTGCTCTTAAGTTTTGCTGACTACTGCCAGTGTGGGAAGAACAGGGGTAAAGTATCCAGAAGCAGGATGCATCAGAAGCAGCAGATGAATCAGGGTCTTGCATAAGCAGGGAGAGTAAAATATGCATGAGCATCAACAACAAGTTCAGTAGATTTGCTTGTTTGTCTAGATAATAGATTTTGGATAGATGTAAATTCATGTTAAGCTCTTAGTGGAGTAGCCATCTCCCTCTGGCCATTTATTCACTTCCTCCAACCCAGAGACCACTGCATATCTGAAACAACTAGGAACAGTTTATCTCAGTAGGACGTGTAGCCCATGGAGACAATTACTCACCCATGGAGACCTATCCCACATCCCCACATTCCTTGCCTGCAGAAGGCTGTCCCTTTGCTAAGTATGAAATTTCATGACTATGTGATAGGAACAACGCTTGCGTTCTGTATTCCTACACAGACAACATCACGTTTGGCCTGATTAAAACATGTTTTCCCTAGCAAGCCTAGCTTCAGCAGTGATCGTGATTATACTGTCCCTGTAGTTATTTATACTTCTACCAATCTTCATCAGCTGCAAATTCTATCAGTGATGACTTGATATCGCATTCTATATTACTGAGAATAGCTCCCATAGCTCCAAGTGTAGGAGTGCCTCTTTGAAAGCAGAGCTGAGAACACTCCCAGTTAATGAGAATTTATCTGAATTTTCAGACCTGTCATTCATCCTTTAGTCAACTGATAGCATACTGTTTCGTTTTGTTTTTTGTTTTTTTCTTTCCTTGCTTTCCCTTGCCTTTACCTCTGAAAACTAAAACTGTGATATTCAGCAATGTTCTTTCCTACAGCAACTTGCTGGCAGCTCTGTTAGCAATAGTGGTTTCTTATCCACAAGAAAGCATGTGATTATGTAGAACCACAATATAAATTGAAAGGTATGTTCCAACATAAATACAATCCTTGAAACTGTAATTACACACATATATAAGCTAGTTCATAAAGAAAAGTGTCGTTTCTTTTACATGTTTTGGATATACAGTGCAGATAAGTTTAGGGTATATGTTTGTCTTATTTTTTAGCGCTATTTTTGAATAAATAGGTTTATTTCTGGATATTTACTTTGCCTTAGCAATGTGGTGTTAAACACACGCAAAATGCTTCAGTCAAGTAAAAAGATTTAACGTTGTCCAAAAAATAACCAACCCACTGAACTGTAGAAATGGCCAGGCACTGCAGCCATTCCCCAAATAGTGTGTTAAGATTCGGATATCAACGTAATCTGCTTAATATGGTTTGAGTTTCTGCAGTAGATCATGGTGGTGAATGTTTAGTGAGCTGAAACAAGAAAGGAGGAAAACTGTAATGGAAAAATTTGGTTTGAAAAAACCCCAAATCTTCTTAAATGGCTGTAATGGAGTTGTCAGATTCATGATGTGTACTTAGGCTAGGCTGGATTTTGTAAGCCATTGAGCTGAGATAAGCATGCTCGTACAAGCAGGACTTTAGAGCTCAAAACACTCCTAATATTGGGCTATTGGCATGAGGTGGTGACAACTGCAGAAGACAGAGGGAAAGAAACACATAGCATTATGTCTTTGTT